TTGCAGATGCCGGTTACGAGTTCGACATCTGCTTCACCTCGGTACAAAAACGGGCCATCCGTACCCTCTGGACCGTCCTGGATGCCATCGATCAGATGTGGTTACCCGTTATCCGAACCTGGCGTCTGAATGAGAGGCACTACGGGGCTCTCACTGGTTTGAACAAGGCGGAGACAGCGGCGAAGCACGGGGAGGCGCAGGTGAAGATCTGGAGGCGCTCGTATGACATCCCTCCGCCTCCCATGCAGTCCGACCACCCCTTCTACAGCACCATCAGCAAGGTAAGAGCCGTTGCTCTTCGTCCGCCTTGCTGAGAGGCTGCTAAAAGCCGCCTTAGGCCGCATGGTCTGGCTTCACTCTGCAAGGTCTCCTCTGTCTCCAGCAGCAGCCAGGGCTGTTGTGCATGATGCTGGTTGGTTTTGGGCTGAGTTTGTCCCTCTCCCTCTCTGAGTTGAACCCCAGGATTGATTCAAAGTGGAGGGGACACTACCTTTTGTTAATCATTAGTCCTGTGACCCCGTGCATGGATGTTTGCTCTGCTCTCTTTGCCCAGAGCAAGCGATGTGTGGCCTTCCCCAGGAGGGGTTCAGAGCCCCAGCTGTAGCTGAGCACAGGCTCAGACCTCAGCGGTGCTTCTTTGCTTCCAAGCCCAGCTTTGCCTATGTGTAGCAGGTCCCCAGGCAGAGAATTTGGGGTGGGGGGATGAAGGCCTTGCCGCTACCTTCCCGCGCTGCGTTGGGCTGCTGCATGAGCGTGGCCATTCCCCCAGGACCGTCGCTACGCTGACCTCACGGAGGACCAGCTGCCGACGTGCGAGAGCTTGAAGGACACCATCGCCAGGGCTCTGCCCTTCTGGAACGAGGAGATCGTCCCGCAGATCAAAGAGGGCAAGCGAGTCCTTATTGCTGCCCATGGCAATAGCCTGCGTGGAATCGTCAAGCACCTGGAAGGTACGTCAGCCCTGCGGGGGTATTGCGGGGGTTCTCCCCGCTGCCCCGGCTGGCGCCGTGCGAGTGGGACCACGGGTGACGGCCCCTCTGTGTTCGCAGGCATGTCGGAAGAGGCCATCATGGAGCTGAACCTGCCTACAGGGATCCCCATCGTCTACGAGCTGGACAAGAACCTGAAACCCGTCAAGCCCATGCAGTTCCTGGGGGATGAGGAAACGGTGCGCAAGGCCATGGAGGCCGTCGCTGCTCAGGGCAAGGTCAAGAAGTGAGAGCAGGCAGCACACTAGCACATAGTAGATGAGTCCCCCGCCATCCCCCCACCCCTCTGTGCACATCCCCCCACAGCCGTAGGAATTTGGAGCTGCGGAGCTGGAGCAGCTCCCCAGGATTAGGCCCGTTCCCTCGGGACCAGGCTCCCCTCTGCAGACACCCCGGGGGTGAGGGGCCGCGTGTGCGGAGGGCTGGTGTGAAAGGGAGCCCTGGCTCTGCCAGGCAGCGACCCCACAACTCTCCGTGCCGAGATCCCAGCCCTCGAGCCCCGTCTGCAGGGGGATGCACCGGGCGATCCCTCGCCGTGCCAGGCTCCTCCTCTGCTTTGCTTCCCCGGCAGCTCTCGTCACCCGGTCACTGTAGTGTTGTTGCTTGGTTTAGTCGTCCTGGGAGCAGCGGGGTGAGCGCAGCACAGGCGGCCACCAAAGGGGTACCCCATCCCCTCGTGGGTGTGCGGCACAAGGACTGAGACGCGTGGACACTGAAAGGGTTGTATTTGGGTGCGTGTGGCACGGCGCCCAAGGGTGGTACTCGTGACCCTGGACCTAGCTCTGCCAGCCCCTGCTTTAACTTATTGCCTTTGGACAAGGGCGAGGGAGGGAGCAGGTTGTCTGGAGGTTCGTGTCCGCCTCATACTTCCCCCAGCCGAAGCCTGTCCTCGTCCTGCTGGTGAAGCAGGTGCCGTTGTGCCCCATCCCACGTGTGTGTCTGTGGCCCTGTCGCTGTGGTCTCCCCCCTGCCAGCGCCGCGAGCCTGGCCTTGCACGGGGTCAGTGTCACTGTCCGACAATAGCAGCTGTCTCGTTCCAGTTCAATAAAGGAGTAACGCAATACCGAGGTGTCCCTGCTCTCCTGCCATGCGTGTGCGAGGCAGCCGTTGCTGCTGGGCGCAGATGTGGGGGTGCGGGAGGGCTCGGGCGAGCAAAGCACAGCTCCGCAATCCCTTCAGAGAGGGTGACGCCCTGCCGCTCGGTGGCTTTCAGGCTCCGGGCGCTGCACGCCCTGTCCCCCAGGGCAA